TCTGTTGGGACAGTATGCCACATTCAAAAATCACAGATCAAGTCTGTTGTTCTTGATGCAAATGGAAGCAAACCACCTGCAGTTGCACATTGAACACCGTGGAAAGCCAAACTAATTTAAGATTATATATTTGGAATGACTTATTTGAAAGTAGTAATTTTTCCTAAAAAAAAAAAAAAAAAACCTCAGACATGACGTTTGGTCCAGATGAGAGGTTTTGACATAATGAAAGCTTCTCATTGAATGGAGCATGCAGTTCTAACAAAACTGATAGGTGGGTGGGATTCCTGAAACAGTACAGCCTTGTTCAGTCCCTTTGTAGTATACAAGCACTGAAGTGGCAAATGTAAGCCTGTTGCTATGCCCCCCAATTTCTTTATGTTAATTTCCCCCTTTGCTATTTAACATGTTGGTAGCGTAGTGGTTATGAATTGGGCTGCGAACCTTAAGGTCAGCGGTTCGAAACTACCAGCTGCTCCGTGGGAGAAAGATGAGGCTTTCTACTCCCATAAGGATTTACACCCTCGGAAACCCTGTACAGGGTCGCTATGGGTCGGAACCGACTCGATGGCACTTAACAACAACAAACAACAACAATTTCCCCCTTTGCTATTTAACATAGTACTTCTTATTAATCACCCTTTTCATTAAAAATCAGAAGATTTGTGGAAAATTAGCACCTGCTTAGGTGGTACTTGCCGTCAATCCAGCTCAAGCTATCATTTTTTAGATAATGAGTTTGAATCGCTGACCTTGTGGTTAACATGTAGTTTTAGTTCAGTGCTGTTGAGTCGGTTCTGACTTCATTGGAACAGCTGGGAGGGCTGAACCGCCAACGTTGTGGGTAGCAGTGTAGTGCTTATTCTACAGGGCCACACCAGGACAGCTGGTGTAAGTGCTATTAAATGCCTAAATCTTTTCAGAGTAACCTTTAAAAAACAAATCAGATGCTCAACTTCCTCTAAATAACTTTACAGTTTAAAAATAAAATTGAAACTTCTACTAAGGCCTATAAGCTCACCTTTGATTTCATCTCCTTTTCTTATTCTATTGGAGCAACATTGTAAAAGGACTTAATCTATTGGTCTGTATTTCCCAGACACTAAGAAGTTCAACTGCAAGGCCTTTTACATTGCAATTCCCTTTCCGTGGGATACTTAGCACCCCCAGATCTCTGCAGGGCTCATTCTCACATATTTAGAGACCTTCCCCATCTGTTGAATAGCACATTCCTATACAGTAATTCTCCAGTTCCTTGCCTCATTTGTTCCACTGTCACCACTAGCATATTGCTTGGTGCCTTTCTCTTCCAACTGGAATGTAAACTGGCCACAGAGATTTTAGTTTATCCCTGAAGGCCCTAGCACCTAAAGTACCACCTGACATTAGAAGTGCTTGGTAAACATTTGCTGGAACTATGGACAGATGAAGGATTAAAAACCAAAATCTCTCTTTTTCTGAGGACTATTGATGACATCAATTTGCAATGAATTCTTTTTTGATGGCATGCATGCACTTCACATATACATACTCCTAATCCAGGAATTCTAAAAATTAGGCCAGCATTCATGTGAAAGAGATATGCTTTGGATTTTTAGAAAGAAACTTCAAAGGCTCTATTCTCAAAGGATAACTAAGTAAAACAAAAATGGTGACAATTATTTTCAAAGGTATTAAGTACTGTATTGTTGTTGTTGTTATGAGCTGTGGAGTCGGTTCCGACTGATAGCGACCCTGTACAGGGTTTCCAAGGCTATAAATCTTTACAGGAGCAGAAAGCCTCATCTTTCTCCCGCGGAACAGCTGGCAGTTTCTAACTGCTGACCTTCCAGTTCACAGCCCGATTCGTAATACTACTTCCTAGATGTTCAACCGCCAGAGTTTTCAAACATTCATTTTGTTAGTGTAGTTTAAAAATCTGTGATTTCAGATTAGACCATGAATGGGTAGGTATTTGGGGGTGGGAGGGGGCTGTAGGACCAAATTTGCTTATTTTTGCCATTCGTAGAAGGCACTTAACAGGTTGGAATTTTCTCAACAAGGACCCAGGTTGAGACAAAACACTTCAATCTCCAGGCAGTACTGGGTCTTCACTAGCACAGGCACCCAAGTAAAGATAACTTTGCTATGACAGAATTGTTGTTGTTGTCAGGTGCCATTGAGTCGGAACCAACTCATAGCGACCCCATGCACAGCAAAATGAAACAATGTCCGATCCTGGGCCAATCTCACTACCGCTGCCACACTTGATGCCATCAATGATGCCACCTGGCCGATCCATCTCGTTGGGGGTCTTACTGTTTTTCTCTGACCCTCCATCTTACCAAGCATGATATCCTTCTCCAATGACTAGTCCCTTCTGACAATATGTCCAAAGTATGAGAGACGAAGTTTGGCCATCTTGGTCTCTAAGGAGCATTCTGGCTGCACTTCTTCCAAAACAGATCTATTGGTTCTTTTGGCAGTCCATGGCACTTTCAGTATTCTCCTCCAACACCATAATTAAAAAGCATCAATTCTTCTACGATCTTCCTTATTCACTGTCTAGCTTTCGCTTCCATATGAGGTTATTGAAAATACCATGGCTTGGGTCAGGCGCACCTTAGTCTTCAAGCTGACATCTTTGCTCTTCAACACTTTAAAAAGTTCCTGTGCAGCAGATTTGCCCAATGCAATACGTCGTCTGATCTCTTGACTGCTGCTTCCATGAGTGTTTAGTTGAACCAAAAAGAATGAAGTCCTTGACAACTTCAGTCTTTTCTCCGTTGATAAGAATGTTGTTTATTGGTCCAGTGGTGAGGATTTTTGTTTTCTTGACATTGAGATGTAATCCATACCGAAGGCTGTGCTCTTTGATCGTCATTGGTAAATGTTTCAAGTCCTCTTCACTTTCAGCAAGCAAGGTTGTATCATCTGCGTATCACAGGTTGTTAATAAGTCTTCCTCCAATCCTGATGCCACATTTTTCTTCATAGAACCCAGCTCCTCAGATTATTTGCTCAGCATACAGGTTGAATAAGTATGGTGAAAGAATACTTATGACAAAATAGTACCAGGAAAATATGCTGGCTTACTTGTGCTACTGACATTTACTCTAGAGAAGCTTTCACCATGTCTTTCACTTCTAGTCTATATTCGTCAGTATTTCTCCTAGATGGAAGAAGTTTCTTCGAAGACCTATGTATTTTTAAGGAATCCTGGTGACCCCAGTTCAGCTGCTAACCCAAAGGTCGAACAGCTGTTCCTCCAAAGAAAGTCTGCTTCCACGCAGTCTGAAGCCTTCAAAACCCTATGGGAATTTCTCCTCTGTCCTACAAAGTCACTAGGAGTCAGAATCTATTTGACAGCAAAGCGTTTTTATATGCTTATTACTACTTGCTGGTAATTCCTTAGTTAGAGTCTCATTTTTCCTCTACCAGATGACCATTCCTTATAGCATTTAAAAAATATATATATTTAAAGTTTTATTGTAAATTGAGTGATAATTTACATTGGAGAACATCAGTTTTACACCATTGTTTCATTGCAGTGGTTACAATCCCCTCTGTGCATTATCAACAGTATTTGCTTCTATTCCCTCTTTTGTGTGTTTGAGGGGGAGGGATGTATACAAAAACACTCAGGAATATATAATCATTTAAACAACCAAAGGGCACATTCTGCAAGCCTGCCTCTTGACTGCCAGCACCCAGTCCCTCTCGTTCTGAGTCCAGAGTCCTCATCTCTACCTACATTTCTGGTGTTGCTGCTTCTCTAGATAGAGTCCTGCATTCCACTCGTGCTCTTCTCCCTTTATGGTCCTAAGGCCCTGTTTCTTGACTGTAAAATTAAGTACTCCCTGTTTTTGTTAAAACTTCTGCCTTTACAGTTGTGACAGTCACAGTTAGTCATGATAACAGTTAATCATAAGAATTTTATTCCCATCTCTTTTCACCAGACCCGTCTAGACAAGATGCAAACTATTCAGTGGGGACTTTATCTTCCGCCCGCACACTCTTAAACTAAGTAACCTCTTGAAAACTTGTAAGCCCGTCACTTTGTGACTGGCTTTATCGCCCTCTCATTTTAGGCAACCAATGTTAAGTTGCCCTTCCCTATCTACCCTGTATATAGAGGAGATAGGATTGATATTTGATGTGAAGACTCCTTCCATCCCAGTTGGTATTTTAAGCTACTACATCCATAAATATAGGTCAAGTTCATAAAATTGTAGCAATTTACACTTGTTTCCTGTATCATAAAATTGTTTTATCTTCCTCTAGTCAAGTTCTGATCATCAGGCAATCGAGGCTAGGTCAAATGGGTACTATCTGCAAGTTTGGGTGTTCTTGTGCGTCTTCCATCACTTCGTATCAGCTGGATGCTTCACTCTCAGCTCTAACCCTCTGTGGCTATGTCCTTGTCCATGGGCTCAAGAGTACCCAGCTCTCACCACACTTTGGACCAACCAGCTTTTCCTCTTCTCTCTCATCTCCAGTCAGTGGGAGTCTATGGAATGTGGCTGAACTCAGCCCATTTCTTCATTGCCTCTCTTCCACTTACCAGTACCAGTACAGTTCCATCTCTTCCACTTACGAGTACACCAGTACAGTAGTTACCAGCAAGCTTACTTGCCTGCTCAGGTGTTCCCTTTGTCTGTCTTGGAGGGGGGTTTTCCCTGAAGATACTTGATTGTTTGCCTTGATGGCTCCCTCGGGAACAACTTGCTTGTTCTTGTAGTAGCCAATTAGACTGCCATTTTTAATTTGGATTTTTCTGCTGATCTTTCTTTCAAGTATCTTCTGTTGCTCTAGCTGTTTCAGGCTGGTCTACTTGTCCTTTCCAGTGAATTCTAGATGTTCAACTGCCAGATTTTTCAAACATTCATTTTGTTAGCACAGTATAAAGATCTGTGATTTCAGATTAGACCATGAATGGGTAGGTATTTTATGACTAGAACTATGTATGTGTACCTTATGTATAAATACTTATGTAGTTGCAATTTGTTTCCTTTTTTTCAGGTTAATGACCCCAGAGAGTGAAATCAGATTTGTCCATAAGGAGATGGGTATTATACCAAGCTGGGGTGGCACTACTCGGCTGGTTGAAATACTTGGCAGTAGAGAAGCTCTCAAAGTGTTAACTGGAGCCCTCAAACTGGATTCCAAAAAAGCTTTTAGGATAGGAATGGTTGAAGAGGTCCTGCAGTCTTCTGATGAAACTCAGTCTCTAATAGAGGCACAAGAGTGGCTACAGCAGTTTACCAATGGGCCACCAGAAGTCATTAGAACCTTGAAAAAGTCAGTTTCTTCAGTTAAAGAACTATGCTTAGAGGATGCCTTACTGTCAGAAAGAGATCTTTTAGGAAGAGTTTGGGGTGGACCCGCAAATTTAGAGGCTGTTGCTAGGAGAGCAAAATTTGATAAATAGTTTTAAATGTGAAGCATTACAAGTAAAGCTCCAATGGTGAATATGTGTACACATTAAGCCGCAGAATTACTTTGAAGACTACTACTAGTGTTTGTTTCTAACAATATCTGCTGAATTCTGACTGGGTTTTTAGCGTATTTACCAAGTAATTTGGAACATTTGACTAAAATACACAGTGCTTTTAAGGTTGAAAATTATTGCTGTTAATTCATTCCTACAGCAGTTCTCAGCCTATAACCAAAAATCCTTTTTAAAAAGCACTAACTTCTATACAAAATCTACTCCCAGGGTCATTTTCTATAAACTCTTTGTCCTGTTTTATTTATAAAGATAAATGTGTGTAAATTTGAAGTTAAAAACAAAAGAGGGAAGTGGTATGGGGAAAAGAAAGTTAGAAAAGGTCTGATTGGTCATTTTCTGCTCCAAGCAAATGGAATAAAAAGCACCCCATCTATTATAAATGGAATCCTGGTGTGGTGCTGCTATAGGGTAAGCACAGGACTGATAAGCAGAGACACAGCACTCCTTTTTCAGTAATTCATTTTCTATTTCAAAATGGTCTCCAAAATGACAGCCACTACATGGAAAGAGTTTTGGAGTCCCCAAGTAGTGCCAATAGTTAATGCATTTGGCTGGTAACCAAAACTTTGGAGGTTCATGCCCACCCAGAGGTGCTTCAGAAGAAAGGGCTGGTAATCTACATCTGAAAACTCAGACACTGTGTTGTGCTTCACTGACCCACCTACAATTGCTGAGTTGACCAGACATCAGCTTTTTTTACTACAGTTGACATGGTTTCAAAGTGTAATCTTACATCAAAGCACTACATATGAGATTTCAAAGACACAAAGCATTCAGTAACACATCTTCACTTTAGGTATGTGGTGTAGTGAATTATCTAAAGTCTCTTCTAGCTATAGTCTGTAACTCAACACCAAGCATTTCTGCCCTGCTGAGTCTAGGTAAGAGAAGGTAGAAGAAGCTAAAGACAGGATGGCATGATTCAGCTGTGGATGTTACCAGAGTTAATTATAATTGTAAATACTTGAAACTCTAGCTTGGGTATAAAATGAGCCATCTCGGAGAGGGGAATCTCACTACCACCAAAGAAGAGCCAGGAGAGGAGCGCATCCTTTGTGCACCGAGATCCCTTTGCACAGAAAGCTGTCACACCAGAGCAGTAGCAAAGGAGCAGCAGCAGCAGCAAGAACGAGTGCATGAGATAGAGTGGTGGTCTTCCCAGCCCCCAGAAACCTGTGCCCTGAATATTTCTGACCCCAAATTGTAACCTGTTAACTTCCCTATTAAAACCCATAACTCTAAATATCGTGTCTGAGTCCTGTGTGGTCATTGCAATGAATTATCAAACCCAACAGAGAAGTAGTGTGTGCTGTGGGTGGAATGGTTAGTGCCTCATATTTTTTGCAAGGTAAAATTTCTTTTTTCTGAAAAAGAACCAACCTTTTTAATTAACTGTGTCTTAAAAGTGAATGATTATCTCAGTAACAGACATTAGCATTTATGTAATTCAAAGAATTAAGCCCCGTCTAACCTATCCACAAGTAAAGATAATTTCAAAATAGCGACAGTTTTGGCCATTATGTTGAGCCCTGGTATGGCACTGTATGATAAAGCACTGGATCAAAAGCGTGGTTTGAACCACAATTCTACGGTTTTAAATTAGGAACATCTAATAAGGCAAACAAATTACTTTTTTTCTGAACCAAATGCTAGATTACCAGATGAATGCAACATTTTTAAACCTAGTTAAGTGTTGTTGAGTAGGTTCTGTATATACCCTGTATAGGGTTTCCAAGGAGCAGTTAGTGAGATTGAACTTTTAACTGCCAAATAAAAGTAGATTTTGCGGTTTACTTTCTGTAAAGTAAATTTGTGTCCATTGATGTTTGTAAGAGTGACGAACTACTTCCGAATCGCTAGTCACTGAAAACTCTATGCAGCAGAGAAACACTGTCAGATATAGGACCTGAAGGTGGGAAGGCACTCAGATTGCGACTGGGAAAAAAATGC